TCAGTGTCCTCCCGCATCCAGCCCCATTAGCCTGACAATGCCCCGCAGGAGACAGAGCTGCGGGGGAGACACCGCGTCCGCCTCCCCGCAAGGGGGTTTTGAGGGGACCCGCCGGACACCCCGCCCCCCCAACCAGCTAGGCGGGCCGGGCCCAAGGGTGCACGTTGGGGCTCTCCAGGACAGGGGGGAAAGGGGGTCGGGGCTGGCCGAGGTGCTCGGGCCAAAATCGGGATGAGGTGGGCGAGCGCGAAGCGGCCGGGCTGGAAACTTTAGCGAGGATCTTCCCTTCCCACTTTCCTCCTTACTTTCCATTTCTTCTTCCTTCTTTCTGCCTTTCTTTCAATTTTTTTTCCTTTTTTTTCCTTTCTTTCTTTTATTCTTTTTTCTTTCTGTCTTTTTTTCCTTTTATGTCTTTTTTCCTTTCCTTTCCTTTCCTTTCCTTTCCTTTCCTTTCCTTTCCTTTCCTTTCCTTTCCTTTCCTTTCCTTTCCTTTCCTTTCCTTTCCTTTCCTTTCCTTTCCTTTCCTTTCCTTTCCTTTCCTTTCCTTTCCTTTCCTTTCCTTTCCTTTCCTTTCCTTTCCTTTCCTTTCCTTTCCTTTCCTTTCCTTTCCTTTCCTTTCCTTTCCTTTCCTTTCCTTTCCTTTCCTTTCCTTTCCTTTCCTTTCCTTTCCTTTCCTTTCGTCTTCATTTTTTCCCTGTCTTTTCTCTCTCTTTCTCTCTCATTTTCTCCCTTCTGTTTTCTTCTCGCCTTCCAATCTTTCTTTCTCTTCCCTTCTCTTTTCCTCTCTCTTTCTCTCTTTCTCTCTTTCTCTCTTTCTCTCTTTCTCTCTTTCTCTCTTTCTCTCTTTCTCTCTTTCTCTCTTTCTCTCTTTTTCTCTTTCTCTCTTTCTCTCTTTCTCTCTTTCTCTCTTTTTCTTTTCCTGCTTCTCCTTCCCTTTTCCTCCCCCTCTCGCCTCCCTGCTCTCCCTGCCAGACCTCCCCCCTTGCCTCTGCTCGCGGTGGGTGCCGTTCCCATTCCCCCAACTCTCTCGCCCCTCCGCAGGTGTGTAGCTATTTCACTCCCGGAGATAAAGAAATTAAATAATGATCTTGACACTGCAATGAACCGATTACTGACTTTGATGTCAAAGAGAAACCAAAAACAGAGAGAAAGGGGGAGAGAGAGAGGGGAGGAAAAAAAAAAAGCGCTATTCCCTCGAGGGGGAAGGCAGCTCCTTGTCAAACCTGTTTCCCCAGAACTGTCTCCTTCTTTCAATAAAATCATTAAACAAAGGCCGCGGGGTTATG